CGAGGCATCGGGCGCTACACTCAATCATATCGTCAAACTAACCATTTTTATCACAGACTACAAGAACTTCCCGACAGTTAACCAAACGATGGAGAAGTACTTCTCTCGTCCCTATCCGGCCCGCAGTACTATAGGTGTGGCCAGTCTCCCACTGGGGGTCGACATCGAAGTCGAGGCTATACTTCACTTGTGAGACAATTTCGAAATTTGGATACTTTTTGATGAGTTTCCAAAAATACAATAAATGTGTTTCAATATTAAACATTTTGTCACTCAATACATTAGAAATATGTTTTGATTATAAAAATATTTGTGTATTAAATATTGAATGTTAAATATTAAATATTGTGTATTAAAGTGAAAATTGTATGAAATAAATACAGAAATAAAAATCTAAAAAACAATTCAAAACTTTTTTGATAATAAATTCATTTGAAATCTATATAATATTGACAATTATGACCACCAGTGCCAGTGTCACCGACATAACCACCGATATATGTATGGAAATAGCATTACCGGTCTGGGGTTTAGGTGGTTGTGCATTATCGGTGCTATACTTTACCGGTGCGGGGGTCGGAGGTTTCAATTCTATAGGCTTGTGGCCAATGGGGAAATGGGGGTCGTCTCCACGTCCCGGAGCGCTGAAATCGATGTTCACCTTCGGGAGGGGTATCTTTTTGGTGGGATCGCACGGGAAATAGCCGGCGCACGACTTCTGCAGGGGTTTCTTAGACACAATTGTCTCGCAGTAGGCTGTGCTCACTTGGATGCCGTACAACTGGGCGCAGTCATGGGTCACATTTCGCTGATTCATCAAAAATTCAGACTCTTTCTCAACAAGGTTACAATATTTAATGTACTGTAGGGGAGGGATAGGTGTCATTTCATTAGGCAAACAATGTAGACACCACTCTATGGTGTGGTTAAAGTGATTTTTACGACAACTATGGCTATATTTACCAATTTCTGTGACAAACAGTAGGACTCGTAGTCTCGACAACAGGTCTCTTTGCTCTCGCCGTACGTACGACTGGCGTCCCACCGGGCGTTAAAACAGGGCCTCATGTAGTCGATCTCCCGGCCCAGTCGGTGATTACTCCCATCTTCGTCTGAACAGTTCCAGGTCTTCTGGCGCGACGGACCGCCGGACACCACAACCGCACCCCACGTCCACAATACCACACATATCAACAGCGCCTGAGTGTGTGATAAGGCTTTCATCGGTCTTTCAACACCCGATTTTGGTTTTCAATTTGTGTTGAGTTTTGAGTGTTAAATGACTGTTTGGCGAGTACTGTATAATCGAAGGGAATGTTAGTTACAGTATAAGTAAATGAAAATAAGTAAAAGATTTAACCGTTTTTTGCAGAATTCACTCAATTCTTAAATTTAACTTTTGTAACAAAACTTTTTTATTCAATTGAGTGCATAGTTTGCTCGCAATTTGAATAAACTCGTGAATAATTATATTGTAACACAATATAAGGGCTAATTGTTGCACGAGTTCGGCAATAACAATACAAAATAGCGCCAGATTCTCTTAACGAGATCATTTAGTTTTCGGTATTGAAAATATAATTTTTATGGTAAATTGGATTTATAAGATTCCGTATATATCGCAACAATTCAACAACTTTTATCAACATTACGACTGTATTCAAGACTTGGATTTTATTTACAAAAATTGTCATTTTTTGGTTGAATTCATTACTAAATTAGAAACTAATGGCCAGCTATTTGTTAATGAAAACCGAAAACTAAACTTTTTATCGCTATTAATATCGGTCTAACTTTAGTCGCAATTTTATGAAAACATTTAATTTAAAGTTTAAATTTTAAACACAAAACAGATTTACAGCCAAATCTCAAATGAAGTTTATATTAGATATGATTTATTTAATGATATTAATTGGTGTGACCTCTGCGTACGAGTCCACCATACGGTCGACATCCGGGTCTATTAATAATAGTTGCCATAATTATAGCGTCGATAGTACTGGTCATATGTGCCGCGATTTATGTGGTCATCAAAATAAGACAAATGCAAAAGAGGACGGGTATGTCATGCACTCAGTCTAATAGTAAACGGATTTTATATATCCATTTCCATCTGCGAAGAGAAAACTCTTAGCTCTGAGTTCGCGGCCGTCCGTTCAGACAACAAGACGTGACCACAAGATATCAAATGAAGAGTTTCATCCTTATTATTGTCATTTATAATTAAAATAAAGTTCCTATTAAATTATTAGCAAGGTTAACTCGTTGCATAGTCTTATAATGAGTTTTACCAAAAGTTTTTTGAAGTTTATTCACTGAAGGGTTGCCTAAATGTCTGCGAAAGCCTAATGTCACGTAATTTATGAACAAATGAAAACACTTGACATTCGGTGCAAAACAATGAGACAATCGGTTCAGT